CTCCACTCTGCCAAACATGATGTCCCTCTCCAAGGACCAGTCCTTCCTTGCAACATGCCCAAAATATGTCAGACAAAGCTTCAGAATCCTTGACTCCAGGGAACATTCTTGCTTCACCCTCTCCAGGACAAACCTGTTTGTTCTCCTAGCAGTCCATGGTATATTCAGCACTCTTCTCCAGCACCACAACTCAAAGGCATCAAATCTCTATCATCCCTATTCACTGTCCAACTCTCTGATGCACATACAATGTATGATGGCAGTGAGTTTAAGTTTTTCACTGAGAATTTCACTTCCAGGAATCTATACTTGCAAGCAAAATTTCTAGAAGCATATATGCATGACTACATTATTACAGGCATAAAAAAGGTGGAAACAAACCTAAGTGTATAGAGGAACAGCACATCCAATAGAGGAGAAAAGCAAACAGAAAATACCTATGTTATAATTTCAATTATAATGACCAAATGAAAAGGTGTGCATGTGTTGGTAAACACAGAACAGTTTGGAAGAACCTCAGAGACAAGGAAGCATGGACAATAACACAGGTAATCCCAGAAAGGGAGAATCCACCCCATCTTTCATACCCCTTTTTATTTTAAATACTCCCTTTTCAGGTTATCAAAACTTTATAATTTTCTAATCACAATTTCCATCTTAAGAAAATGGGTATTTATTTGGATTTTCTCCATGTTTAAAAATGGAAAAAACCTCCTTTCATCTGAGGAATGACGTTAGAGTTACTCAAGCTCCAAACAAAAATGTTGTTGCCATGGTATGGGTGTGGTGTACATTATTTTCTACAAAGTGCAAACAAAGAGGACCCTGGGAATCAAAGTTAAGCCTTCTTTTAACTAAGTAACTTGGAGCTTTAAGAGCTCTCAATATTGCTGCAGCTACCATTTCTTGAGAAATCAGTGCTAATTACTCCTCTACAATTCCAGAAATAATCAGGACTACCTTATTTTCCTTTCTCTCCTTCTCTCAAGTTGTCCTTTGATACTTTATTACAGAGTCCTTCTTAAGACTGTTCTCTGCATTCTGAAGAGCCATGTGCTTGTCTTGCTTGAAGCCATCCTGCTACTCAGAATTCAAGTCTGCCCGTCAGTCCACTCAGTTAGCCAGACTCTGCTGGCTGTGGAACATGAGAGGCACAGTGAAGGGAGATAAGCCACAGGGGACATGAAGGAAAGATCTCACAAGGGCTTAAAGACACGACAAAACTCTCCACTTTCAGTTCTAGTCCACGCAGTATGTGAAAGAACTCATTTCACTAACTCAGCCCTCTGAAGCCACCTCAGAAATTACCTTCACACATGTCTGAGAACCCCAGAGACCTTCTACCCATCTACCCTACCCTACTGAGATCTTTATTTTGCAATTATAAAGAAACATACCTGATTTTTGGGAAACACTTTTGGGAAATGAAGCAATTCATAAGCTGCTGTTCTGGTAATGAAAGGATCTAATATTCGGATCTGATAAGGTTTATAGATCAGGTTTGAGGCTGGTTTCTTCCAAAAACCATGATTGTTCTGAAATAAAGTAACAACAGAGAAAGTGTTTTTATGCTGGGTTGGTTTTTTAAAAGAAAACAACTGAAGGTAGATTAATTTTTCCAACTTACTATTTTGCCACCTGACAGCAATTCCCATAGCCATTTTAAATCAAGTGGCTTAAAAGCAGTGAGAATCACTGTGGTATTTGGTTCATTGTGAATGGGATCTGAAAAAACAGATTCTGGATAAAAAAGTCGGAAGGTTGTCCTTCTTCCAACTTCCTCTTCGTGTCCTAAAACAGGACCATTATTCATTCTGCGGATAGTAGAACACATGAAATATGTAGAACAAGAACAGTATGAGTCATTTCCATCTCACTTCTCAAAGGTTTCGAGTTGGCCAGTCTAATTTTAGCCATTTATTCTGTGTTGCAAATCACAAAGGAATTGGGCAATCTTTCTCAAATAATAGCTAGTGAAATCATGCCTAGAAAAACAGCTGCTTAATAAAAAATGGAGACAGTCCTCTATATTTGTTAACTATGGAGTCAGTAATAATTCTGGAAGCGGAAGAGTCAAAAAATGAAAGAGAAACAAAATACTAGAATTACATTATTGAAGGTGCTGAAGTCATAAAGCATATGGATGTGTATATAAGTGACAGTCAAGAGGCATCACCTTAGAAGTGATTTGAAGACGCATCAAAATTTTTGCTTTCTAAAATACAGTGACAAAATTGTGCTAGGCTGGAGCAAAGCAAATGAAAGGACCAGCAAAGCCAAAAGGACCACAAAGGACCTACTGTTGGGCTTGTATGTGTTCAATGCCAATGTTAGACATGCACTATTTATACAAACACCAAGAAAGTCTGTTATAAAAAAGGAATGCTTTGTTTCCAAAACAGTGTCCCCTAGGAAGATAAACACTGCTTTACCCTTTGCCACTAACCATATGTAACTTGAGATGGTCTTAACTAACACTTGAAATGACTTGCATAATGTTAGGCCAAGGGCATTTTCCCACAAGGGCTTGCTGTCGTGCTACACATCATCAGGTTTTAGGCAATTATGGGTAAAGAAAGCTGTGATTGCTCCAAATTTATTTCATGGATAAATTGTCACAGCCAACTAAAAATGGATAATAAGCAGAAGACTCTGTGTTCTTGGCAGATCTGCAGAGACCTCTGCCAACTTGGAACACAAGAGCCTCGCCCTAGCAAATACTCTCAAGCAGCCAGGTGATCCTAATGCATGAGCCCAGCAAGCTTTCCCATGCTTCAGAAACCATCCATACCACCCTTAGCAAATGTATTTATCCTAGATGATGGCCTAGCCTCAAACACATTTCCCCCACCACTACAGCTATTACACTCGCTAGTTGTACCCACCATGAGTGGTTTCCTTTCTGTTACAGAAGATTGGCCATATTTGTGCTTTGGACACCACCCTTTCTTCCTATTATCAAACAAGTCAGTACTCATTTCTTATCTTCACTAAGCAAAAAAACTGGTCTTGTTCCATCTAGCTACTATCTTCCCTTCACAGCAAAATATTTCAAGAGTTGCCTGTACTGGTTCCTCCGCTTCCTCACCTGCCACTCTTTAATGCACCTCCATCACTTGGCCTTCTCCCCACAAGAGACTTCCAAACCTACTTTTATAGAGCATCTTAGTGTACTTCAGGCTGCCAATCCAATGGTAACCACCAGTCTGTCCTTGCCCTTAATGAGGTCTCACCAACTATGGATTCAGTTGATTCTCTCCTTGATGCTAAAACTACACTCTTAGTTTCTGTGATTTGATTTTCTTCCTCCTTCATTGGATCCTCTCCATCTCCTCTACTCACATATTTTTCTTTTTTCAATCTGTGACTGCTGAACACATCCAGGCTCAGCCCTGAGCCCTCTACTCTCTTGAGTTTTTCCATAGGAAATCTGAATTAAAACAATTATTTTAATATATTGTCATCAAGATTCTAGCCTATTTATCAACTGGCCATTTGATAGATGTATTTCAGGTCTAAAAAGCATCTCAAACCTTACATGTTCATAGAGAAGCCATGAGTTTCCCTTACACTTGCTCCAGTTCAGTCTTTTCCCTCTTAATACATGGAATCACCCCTGTGCCAATCCTTTAAATTAAAATACTAGGAAAGAAAAGACATCCTGATTTCATTAATCTCCACATGCCTCATAGCTAACAACACATCAGCACATCCTTTTAACTACCCTTCTGAAGCTTCCAATCTGTCCACATGCCTTCTCTGCCATGACAAACATATTCCAAGTCACTGTCATCTTTCACCTGAATACAGCAGCCCAACTGGTCTCCCAACACCCACATATTTCTCTCATATTCCATTCTTGACACTAATCCAATTTTCAAATATTTTCAATATTTCAAAATCGGATCTATTGCTGTCTTACTTAAAAACCTTCAAATGAACCATATACTGAAAATAAAATCCAAGCTTTTAATTGGCTTACGAAAGCCCTACACAGATGGTTCCTTGCTTCAGCTTCCGATTCCCTCCCACCTCCCCATGCTGCCATTCTCTCATTAACTGATTCCCTTGCTATTTCTCTCAAATCAGGATCATCTCTTCCTTGAAACTTGCAGCAAATGTTCCTTCTGCCTACTCTGCTCTCTCTAGGATCTATGTTCTACACAGTATAATAATTTAGGTCCACTTTAGATATCTCCTCAAAGTGATCATCCAATCTAAAGTAACCAACCCTTCTATATCATGCCATTTTTAATTGCCTATATGGCATTTATACTATATTTCTCTTATGTGTTTTTATCACTCTCCTTTGATCTATAAAATGAAACTCCACAGAGAGTAAGAATGCTGTTCTTTTTCACTCTTGTCTAGAATATTTGGCATATTAAGTAATACTAAGTAAGTATTTGCTAAATGAGTGACCAAAAACCTACTCTAACCAACAACTAAATAAAAAGGTTGCATTATCAAATACATTAGCAATTCTAAGCACCTCTCTTTCCTTCTAAAACAGTTATACTACAGTAGGAAACTTAGGTTAGGAAATAAATGTATTTACCTTATTATTACATCATAGGAGTCAATTTTTTCCCCTAATGTCTTGTTCTTTAAAACTCCTCCATTACCAACCACCACACATTTTTTACATGGCACACTGTTGGACAAATAAACAAGTGAGAGGTTGAGTCATCTTTTACAACACTCGGTTATTCTAAGAACTTCATTGTTTCAGGAATCCAATAACAAAATTCATTTTATTGTCCAAGGAGAAAATGAAGAACTAACCATTTACAGATCTAAGCATTTAACAGATAGCTATAAGAATCCAGAAACTTCATATTCTCATCAGTGACTATTAGCTCTTTTAAGTACAAGCACATTTTCTCATTTTCTTTTCATAGACACCCACTAAGAAAAGTTAGCCTGTAAAACACCTCACACACACACACACACACACACACACACACACACACATACCATTTCACCTTTTTGAAATAACTAGAGAGATTTAAAAAATTGTTAGGTAACATTCCAAATCCATTGCTCCAAAAAGAGGTGGAACTATGATTTGGATGCCGATCTTTGGACTACAAATATACACTTTGACAGAGTGTTGTACATGCTGGCATTGATACAAGTGTGTTTTGCATTATATATGCATCACAAATACCCCTGAGACTTGAGGTCTCTATTGTATTATGTAACTATAGATGGAGATGGTTGGAACTGGGTGAGGGAAGTGCCACTTATACTCTGTACATGTTCATTTCAACACCATGAACATTTGCTAGTCCTTGAAATTTAACCAATAGAAACAAAGTATTTCACTTTGTGTTCCTAGCAAAGAAAATTAAAGTAGGACATGAAGTAATATGCTGGCTGTGACTAGCCCAGAATCATATTTACAATCAAGTTTCAGCAGACGTGGTTCTGGACCATCTGTTTCTCAGCTCTTAGTCATCGGGAGAGTCCTGAGGAAGTAAGAAAACAGACCGTGTCCTTCCACTCTAGGAGACAATATTTCAGAAGGACTGTGTAGGCTGTCTCACAGGGCCCTCAGAAAATGGGAAGTATAAAGAAAAAAAGTTTCTCCAAGAATAAAGAAGTTGGGCAATAAATCAAGATTAAAGAAGAACTGGTGCATTTGAATTAAGATAGTGGTGAAGAATACTGAATATACCATAGAATACCAAAAGCACATATCTGTGTTAAAAAGGTACAGCAAAGATGCTTCTTGAAAGCAAGGATGGGGAAATTTCACCTCTATATTTGTCAATATTATCAGGAGGGGCCAGATCCTGAAGAAACATATCAGGCTAGGTAAAATAGAAAGTCAGCAAAAAACAGGGAGGTCTTTAATTCAATGGACCGGCACAATGATTACAATAATGGGTTAAAGCACAGGTGATGGTGAGGATGGTACAGGAGAAGTCAAGATATCATTTTCTTCTACATACTATTGCTATGTATCAGACATGATTTGATGTGCTTAACGATCACAAGAGTCCAGAATTAAGGTTGCATAGTTGAGTGTACTCGGGGAGGGGGGCGAGGGGATTGTATACCAATGAAAGAATTTTTCGTTTGAGAACTGAACTGGGGGCGGGGGCAGGGCTCGGCAGGGAGAAAACAATGAATGAATGGAAATCCAAAATCTCTGTAAAAGTTCATTAAAATTAATAAAATAAAATTTTTAAAAAACAAGAAAGCAGCTGATTAGATAAACTCAAGACCTTAGACTCTGGAAATCCTGCTGTTAGTAGCTGTATGGGTGCTGAGTAGAATTTTTCCATAGCGTTTCCAAGGCTATGATATTTAAAAATAAGATGATTAAGCCTGCCTTCTGAAGAGCATGTAGATGGGTCTGAATTGCTAATCGTCAAGCACTTCACGATTTGCACTCAAGGACTCTGCTAGGAAACTACTGAGCAACAAAATGAATGAAAGTGCTACAGGATAATTAAACAGAAATTGAAGAACTACTGGAACTACTAAGAAGAGTTAAATATTAGATTTAGTAAGAGGAACAGTGAGAACATTCTTATCATAAATTTATCTATTTTTGCTTAGAACTAGTTTAGCTCATCTATTGAGAAACTCTAAAAAAAGACAAAACTCTTTGCATTTTAAAATCACTTTTTACAACTGGAGACGGGAACATCGACCAATGTTTGTGGCAATATTGCAGTGGGTAGAAAAGTGCACCTCTAGAATTGTCCCATTCAACGATTTGCATTTTGTTTGGTGACAGTGTTTGCACTCTCCACAATGACTCCATTCCTCTCCATTTCCCCTTTCCTATATCTTCTTGCCTTTAAGCTTTATTCTTGGTGCAAATGCTGTCCTTTTGGGTGTTAAATGGTTGATTGTCTTAAGGAGTGTTCCTGCTCATTGTAGAGACCTGTCTGCTTTATTGTCTCCAACAAACTATTGAGCTTAAACTTAGCCTTAGTTGGTCACAGAAGCTTGGCTCTCTGACCTGCCTTTCTGGGAGGTTTATGTTTGTTTGTAGAATCACATTTTTTATTGGTAATAGAATAGTATTTTTTAAAAATGGGAAATTTCAAATCATGTGTTTTAGTTGGAAAACTGGTATCAGCAGATTCCATGGGCAATGAGAATAAGTTTTCATGAGCTTAAGATCAGCCTTGAGCAGAGGAGCCCACCATGGAAAATGGATCAAATCCAAATGTCTGTGCAGCTGGTGTCAGAGTACCCAGTGGGAGGTGGAGGAGAGGCAGTCCCCAAGGGCACTCCAGCATGGCCGGTCCATTTGGAAGATAGTGATCCAGGTGGTGAGCACACACCAGAAGAGGAAGCCCACAGGTGAGTGCCAGACATCAAGACAGTACTTTCAGCACAGGTTCAACTTCTAGCCAGACACTCCAAGTTCAGAGGTGCTCAGGGGATGCCCTGTCCTGACGATCAGGGAAGTAGAATAGGACTTTCTCTAGCTTGATGCTCTGGTGCTCTGGGAAGTTCTTAAGGGAGAAAATGGGTCGGTCATCTTCTCCCTGACAAGGTCAGCCTCTGACTATTTTTAAACTTTAAATTTCTTTTTTTAAAACAGTGTCCCTTTCCAGCAGGAAATAGCTAAGAGAATACGCCATCCCCTTTTCCTTATGAATCAGGGTGAAGTCTCTCTCAAAGAGGAGTGATAGGGAATGGCAAAGGACACACTGACAAAGGAGATTAATTAGAACTGGCTTTGACAAGCACAGTGGCAACTGGACAATTAAAACAGACTTTCAAGGGGGGGAAAAAGAAGAACTGGGGAGGAGGGTAGAGAAAATAGTGCAACAATGAATGAATGAAAACCCCAAATCTCTGTAAATGTTCATTAATATTAATAAAATTTAATTTAAAAAAACCAATTGTATTTTTGGGGAAAATTCTTTTTTTAACATTTTAATTGAGGGTTCTTGGTTCTTAAATGTTAAAAAGGCAGGACAAAATATGTGCCTGATTTGCTCAAGAACAAAAAGGGCCGGAGCTGCATGGGTGGGCAGGGCCAAGAGTGAAAACAAGCCTAACTGCGTGCTATTTGAGGGTGTGTCCCCCCAACCTTATATCAGGGTCATGTTGCCATGTGTTTCAGAGGTATTTGGTTGGTGTATTTAAATCTAGGTTTTGGTTAGATTCACGTTTAATTAAGAAACGATAAAAATATTTAGATATTTTTATATGCAAGTGCTCCTTCAAACCCAGTATTCAAGCAACAAATTTTATCAAAAGCGTGTTGCTCCAGAGTCAGGTGGCCTTGTTGAGATGAGAACACTGGTAAACATTCAGAACTCTGAAAAATCCTTCCTATTCCTCTCATTTTCCTCACCAGATCCAGCTCATGAACACTTTAAAGCAGGATTAATACTCAAATGGACAGTTTGCTGTACCTTTCCATACGTTGGAGGCAAGTTAATAAAAATCCTGAACTGAACCTTCATCATCTCACCCAGAATGCTAATCACAATTGGTGGCTAGAGGCAGATAGAGCTCTGTTCCGGCAAGTTATCCTGCTTGGGGTGGAGTGAGTACCTGTTGTATCCTGCTTATAAGCATAAGTATTCTGCTTCTAAGTGTAGTGCCTGTTGAAAACTGTTATAAGCACACATAATCTGGTCTCTTTTTAAATGAAGGTTGGAGGCTACTCCAATGTCAAGGGAAGTGGTGGTCTCCTTGATGTCAGGGCCTCTCGGGTTCACAGGATTGCTCCTAGTTGAAGATCCTTAAACTGATAAAATGCTTTATGACTCTAATGATATCAAACATTCAGGTCAGAATCACAGGACAAGCCCCCGGCATTCCTGATACATAAACCTAACCTCTGAAGTGTACCCATGAAAACTGTAACTCAGTTCAGTACTAGAAAAAAAAAAAAAGAAAAAAAAAGAAACAGATAATTCTAGAATCACTGCTTAGCAAGGAACTGACAAGTTAGTATTCACAGAATTGTCTCCTACACATGACCCGTATCAGGTTGGATTACAGCTGGTCATCAAGTCCTAGGTTATACACAGTCCAAAACCACATCATAGTAATAGCTACCATGTATAACCCCTCCACACTACATCAGTTGTTCCTTTTTAGGCTCAGGGATAGTCCTAGGGATCTTTGTAAAAGACTTTATTGTTATATATTCTCCTGAGAAGTGTATGTGGACTTTTGCAATACCTTTAAGCAAGGAGAAAACAAAATTTTCATTGGGGAGAAAAGGCATTGACAAACTTTTTCTACTAAGTTTTCTAGCCAAGGAAAGGGCGGTTTATAGTCCATATTGTAGACGACAGTCCTTGACTCTTCATGTCCTCTTCAACTGAAGGTATATTTTTTTGTTTGCGACTTTGCTGATGTATTGCTTAAGTCTTAAAAGACATTATTTTTATTTTTAATAAGACATTTCTGAATGTCCTCAGGACCTACCCTCATTATCCATTTTTGCTTCTTGACCTGTAACTTGATATGAGTCACAATAATACCAAAGATGTGAAATATAAAGTGCGGCCAGTAAGGAAGTATACTAAAGTCCAGAAAAATGGCTTGATTTCTGTAATATATATAAATGGAAATCTGAACGTGTATTAGAATGGCTACTAAGCTTGTAAGCTAAGTGTGCACAGAATACAAATCTAAATCTGTCTAGGTTTATTGATTTGG